TCGCTCTTAGGTTGGAGGCCATCGCTCTTAGGTTGGAGGCCATCGCTATTAGTTTGGACGCCATCGCTATTAGGGTTGGAGGCCATCGTTCTTAGGTTGAAGGCCATCGCTCTTAGGTTGGAGGCCATTCTTAGGTTGGAGGCCCTCGCTATTAACGGCACATCATGGCACCATGCTCTTGGGAAGAAGTCGTTCTATCCTTCGTAAGCTTGACTATCTCTCTTAGGTTCGTAAGCTTGATGAACAAATACATGTTGGGGTGTATCAAGGAGGTGAAGCCATGTTCTCTGAGGGCTACGCTCAGCAGCTCGCACTTTTTCATGGCTGGTTGGTATTGGTACACGGTTGATTGTGTATGTATTGAGGGGCAGATGCCAAGCTCAGCATCTACCGTCTTCAGAGAGGTGCAGGTGTATCATGTATCAGAGTAAACATATCCCATTTGTGCGAAAGGCATCCTGATCGTAGATGTCAAGTGCTACATTTGCGAGAAGTGGACACATTCAAACATTGAAGTTGATGTAGGGCAGGTCAAGGGAGCAAGCAGCGCAGGCACGCAGGCAAGCAAGAAAACAACCAGCTGGCAAGCAAGCAAGCAAGCAAGCCATTTGAGTCGTCGTTTGGAACCAAGACTTTGGTGACCTTGCTGATGGCTTAGCATGTTGTTCAGCGCATTTGCCTGACTCCACGAAAAACTCTGCGAAACTCCTCGAGATCGGCACCACGAAGCGGAGCTGACCGATAGCGGCACTTGTCTCCGAGCCAATGGCCGTAGGGCAATTCCAAGTGGAACAATGCTCCCCACCAAACCCCCATGACATAACATGCAGATGTTGTTTTCCTCTTTTTCACAAGACTCACAATCAGAGAAAACACGACACTGGTTTGGTGGACGGATCACGAAACCCCTTTTTGGTCGATGGCTTCAAACGGGCTGCCCAGGCGTTGCGTTTGAATGATGCTCTCTTTGCTGATCATGATGCGAGATTGGCAAACGTGAGGGTGCTCAGGTTGCCATCGCGGCTTGGTCTCGGTAGATCCAAGATCTCGGTAGAAATATGTACAGTACATAGCCCAGCACATATAGTTATTTGTTAAATGTTGCGGATGATCAAACGAACACTGTTCTTTGGGGCCCCTGTGATCCTGTAATGGGGCTTTGAAATGCTTGGACATGGCATGATCAAACATGGAGCCGAGCCCAAACATGATCAAACTATATTGCCAAAGATTGGGATTGGACTTCTTTGGGGGTTGCTTTATTCAGTTCATTCGGTAGAGGTACGGTAGCATGAAAGACGACAATGACCACATGAACATGCGTGTACATCCGTGCACTAGCTGTCTAAAAATATGGTCGCATTTGCCTTTCACATGGCCAAATGCCTTTCACAGTTCCATCTCCTGGTGTGTTTTCCTCAACCATCTCTCAAGCCGCGTCGATCTTGGCGGTCGATGGCGGTCGATGGCCCACTCGTTCTTCGCGAAGCGTGCGAGGCTTCTTTTTTGCCACCTCCTGGCCTAGCTCCTCCAGGTCTGAGCTTGATGCCTCGCAAGGCGACGGACGGACGGGTTTTGTCTCCGACCTGACCGGGTTTGGGTGTGACAACTCCGTCCCTTTGGGGGGGCTTGAGTGTTTTCGGACAGGAATGGACGTTTTCAGCTTCAGACTTCGGCCAGATGTTTGCAGGAAGCAACGTATGGCATTTTTGGATACACTGTTTGGATAAGGTCTATCCACAAATATCTATGGTCTATATATAGTGGCTCATGATGGCTCATTCCCAAACGGATTCAGTCCACACCGCCAGACCCCTTCGGTGATCTCGGATGAGCTCTCCACTCAGCTTCGAGATGACGGGAGCTATGCTGCTTGGGCTCCGTTCCGGCGAATCGGGGGACGGGCGACTCACCGTTTGACCCATCAGAGCTACCAACGCCCATGAGGCCGTTGGTACTTTATTGGTATAGCTTGGTTGAGACTTTCCTCGGTACACCCAGCAACATAGAGATGCAATAGAATACGATAAAAAGATGAATCCGTGAATCTGCCAAGATCGATCCAAGATTGCTTTGATCGGGTTGAAGATTTGGGAAGAATCCATCCACCGTGTTCCACTCCGCCCTTTTGCATCAACCCACGTCGGTTCCGGTGTCCCCGGGTGGCTTTTGGCCGCTGGCGGCGCCACCGGCGGTTCGGCCCGAGGCGTCCTTCGTGGATTCCCAGTCCCAGATCTCCTATTCCGCATCACAAGTCTCCTTCTCCTCACGCGTGTCGGAAGACCTCCGCACATTGGCTTCCATGGGCCTTTGCGAATGCAAGCGACTCGGCCGGCGGAAACAGAACGAGAAAATGGACTCGGTCCATGGAACTGCCCGTTTCAGGCTGTTTTACATAATTGATCATAATTGTGTTTGCGTCAACATGTGTATTTAAAAACAATTATAACATTATCCAAAGAAATATATTATGCAGTAGTTACTATATGGTGATCTATGGTGTGTCAATATATATATATATAATTATATATTTATATATTGTCAACAAGATGCTGGGTAGCTACCAGCATCGTTAGGCCGTTTGCCTCAAGCATCTGAGGCTCTTGGAAGATGACCTTCGTCATTTCAGCATCCTGTCATAATGTTACCTGGGGCTCAGTCAATCACAGGACAAAGGTATTGAGTCATGACAATCCATGAACACGTCCTCCTTGTTTCTTGCGGTTGGGATCTTTAGGGGTGTTTCAAGGGTTTTCTTTAGGGGTGTTTCAAGGGTTTTTGTGCAGTTGATCAGAACAGCGAAAGCAACTTCTCCGAACCCTTAGTTCCCAAGGGCAAGTGAACCAGGACCAGGTACATCATGGCAAGATTGACGGCTGCAGGTCCACAACATTGATTCAAACAATGTAATTAGTGGACGTGTGCCTGCATCAGAATCGCCCTAATTAGCAAAGATGGGTAAAGCATGGTAAAGCTAAGATGCGTTCTATTCTCTCTCATTCTTCGTGTTGTAGTTCTGTTGTGCACGGTGCAAGCGCAGTGGTCGATGTCCAGATGAGGTGCTGTGTTGCTGAGCCGAATGTCTTCAGCTTGCGTTGCTTTACGAAAAGTTGACGAGGTGCATCAATGCGTGCTATGGTGTGTTTTCATTGTCAGCTTGCTCTATAGTAGGCGGTTGACCTTAGACATCCTTAGACTGTTGCTTTTTTTGGAGATGAAACGAAGACCTTGGCAAGCGAGGAGTTGGCTGTGGCAGATGAACAGACGGTGCCCATGATCGAGGAGAATCTGTGAGTCTTCGAGACATATATACAAAACTATAATAAATATAACTATGTATATAGAGAGTGAGTGAGTTCTTCAGAGAGGACTTCGACCAGAGCCTGCAGCCCCACTATTTGTTTGTATTGTGTGTATCCAACTCTGGTCCATCAGTGCCAAGACAGGAGGTTTGTGGTTTTGCTAATGTTTCAAAGTTTTTTGTTTTATATTGTTTCCATATACTGCAGCCATTCAACCAAACCAAACGGCCGTGACTGAATAGGTCATTTGCTTGAAGTCCGACCATCGATTGAAATTGAAAGTGGCACGCCAGACTCAGCGCCTCAGTCCTTAACGAAATCGTAGCTCGTATGGTCAGTAAGAGCAATAAAGACAGATCGAGTGCCGGAAGACTTACAGCACCCAAAGAGCAACAACCACTCGAAGTTGGTACAGCTTTGCTTGTTTTGATGTAGAGGTTTTGAAGAGTTTCTGAATATCCCAGTTTGGCATCTACTAGGGCAGCTTGCCACGGTTGGAGCCCAAAGATCTATGCTGTCGTGGAAGCACTTGTGTTTGGGACGTTCGAGTCAGCGTGTCCCCCCAAGCCCACAACAAGACCGTCTCACGGGTGGGCATGAGACCGTAATTTTTTAGTTAAAACATATCCTAGGTCATATTAGGTCGAAGACCATGTTGAAAAGAGGCTTTTTGGGTAATCCGAAGAGGCTGTTTGTTCATATTGTTCCTTTGTTTTGCTGGTGCCCCAAAAATAGTCTTTGGACTAGTTCATTCTAGGGTATATAATATATAATAAATATAGACAATAGATATATATATATATTCCGCCGAGTCCATCCATACCTGGCTTCGTCATGGTGAAAGATCGACACTCGGATGGAACATGCACCATCATTGAACCCTTTTCCACACCACTTTGTAGTCCTTCCATACCTCACACTCCATGAAAAAAGGACGCCCAAAACACCTGGACCCAACCAGAAACCGCCTCCAACTCAAATTGGCATATGCCAACCGTCCCAGAAACCGGTGACTCGTTTTGGTTCGCGTCGGAGGAGCTCGTGACTTCCGCGGAGTCGCTGGCCAACGAGTTGGTCTTCGTGAGCCAGGTGGGATTCGGCTCCGAGCGATCGGCAACGACAGAACTGCCGGTCGTTTGAAAAGAAGACAATGCCAGAAAATAAGACCAAATTAAGGTAAGATGCCAGGAAATTAAGACTTCCAGAATTAAGAATGCCAAAGCAAAAAACAAACAATTGAGCCTAACTAAGCAAATCTCTAGATCTTTGTATTCATTTTGAAGGTCCTTCACATATTGACCCAGACAACCACTTGGTATGTCGCGGATTTTGCCACATTGGAGCGGCCAAAATTTAGTGTTTGATTCTTCGGATTTCCAGGCAACAACATGAACATCAAAGATGGTCAAAATGGAAAATTTGGCTCAGTGTTCAAGTGTTTGGTTGTGGCCCATCTTCCTATTTGAGATACCTCAGGTATATAGCATGGAAAGTCAATTAACATCAAATATCAATAGCATGGAAAGTCAACAACACAACGTAACAAACAATTGAACAGGCAAGACTCCTACATATCCACTCCACTTAACAAAGCATGGCAGCAAATGTTGAACACTTCTCCAATGGAAACTGGGACATTCGAAGTAAGAGTCGCTACCTTCAATGGTTTCATTACATTTCATATGATCAATGCATTGTCTTTAATGGTTTAAGTGTTTGTCAACACATACAACATATATCAACATATATAAACATATAAACATGTATACCTAGAACCTGAGTGACCCCTGTTTTGGAGTCAAAACATGTTCTTTCCCTATCAAAATACAGGTCATATATGGGTTCTATATATGGACAGACCGGTCGTGGAGATTCCTCCAGACCATGCACCTCTTCGGACGCACAGAACGAATGAACACAACCATGTCATAGACATAGTCCATGTTCGTATGCAAAAATAGACTTTCGGAAGAGCGAATCAAGGAATGGTGAAAGGGTGCATGTTGATGATTGAGAATGATTGAGATATTTGCTTGCGAACGTAGGCAAGAATGGATCAGGAACTTGTTGCGGCGAGGGGGTTCGGGGTTCCTTCGAACCTAAATCTTCAAAACTGCCTATATCTGCCTAGGCCTATTTATTCCCAGAGGCGTTCTTCAGAGGGGTCTTTCCCAATATGCAAAACATGCAAGAGGCCACAAGGTGGGGCAACTCGGTGTGGAAGCAAGCAAGCAAGCAACAATAGACATTTCACATGACATGTAACATGTAACATAATTAGTTGAGTTTAGTCAATGGCTTGAAAGTCCAGTGTAGCTATGGGCAAAGCATGTGCCATAGTAGCAAATGTCCAGGAATTTGGCAATTTACCCGTAAAAAGTGCAAAGAGTTGGAGCAAGGAAGGTGGCTAGTCAAGCCACAAAAACTCCACCGGCACGTGTTGTCAAGCGAGGGAAGGTGGTCTTGGTTAGACTATACATTGCGTACCTTGAAAAGACACCGTAACCGAAAAATCATGCGGTTTCAAGGATAGCAAATTTGTGCTCGAAGATCCATGGATGAAAAATGATTGAAACATGCCGTTTGGAGGCCTAAGGTTGACGCCGACGCCGTTTCTTTTTGGTTTCTCACCTCGCCGCCGGTGTCTACCTTGTCGCAGGGAAAAGACGCCGTCTTTGAGGTTCAGACGTTCGAAAGCTTCGTAAGTGTATGTCTTCTTGAAACGACACATATTTGTGCCTTTTCAGAGATTTGCATGTGAAGAACGTCGTAAAGTATGTCAACGACTAGCACCTTCCTGCGTGAAAGAAATCATGCGTTTGCTTGCTTGTGGGACGGTCTCCCAGAATCGCGGTCTATACCAGGCTTTGGTCATCATAATTATATACCTCGAATTGCTAGACTAGAGAAGCTTCATACAACTTGGGCACTTGAATCAACTTGAACAATGTCCAGTTTTGCTTAATCGTTGTGTGTTAAACGCGGGAAAGAGTTGTTTTTTGGTGTACTTCAGGAGGAAGAAAGTTATTTTCTTACTGGGTCTTACAACATCTATGTGGATCAGCCGCGGTCGAATTCAGAAGTCCATAATTGTCACTCTCTTTTAATGTATTTAAACGGCGTTGGAGGGAGGAAATTCGACCGTATCAAGTGAAATTGATGACTTTGCAGGATTCTACGGCGAAATGGTGTTCACTGTAGAACTGTCAATATGTATTGCTGATAGGTTCACTTAGGGGGGTTCTCTGACATTGGCATATGCCACTGTCTTTTCCAGGAATACAGTCTCTTGGACAATGTTCATGTTTATTCCTCGACTTCTTTGAGTAAAAGAAGTTGTGCAGCCATATCACGGGCACCGTTTTGTGTTGTGATTCCAGTTTGTGTATGATTGTATATCCATAAAACTATAATCTACCGTTTTGCCACCTATCGTCCTTCCGCCAAAAGCTTCGACGGTGACCCACAATGTCCCACAATTCTAGATCCATGTGCCCCTCCAAAGAGACCCCTCCATGATGTCTGGATCTTCCCCCAGGACTCCATCTCCAACCCTGGGACAAATCCAACTTGATCCAATAGGAGATGCTGCCAGCCTTGGTGAGCGACCCTTTGGGAGCATTGGGCTTGGCAGGCGAGACAGAAAGACACATAAATTAGAAGGTTGTTCTGATGATATCAGAAGGAAACATGTAAGAACCCTCCCTTTCCAAAGGCAAGGTTTTGGTTTCGAGCAGACTCTTAGCCATCATTGGCCCCATTTCATTCATTGAGTGATATACTGACAGTGTCGTGGGCTTCCAGAAGTCGTGCTTTTAGCTAGCCCAGCTGATCGGCGTTGTTGGGACTGGTCGCCTTCTTTTTTGATTCTTTTGTTCTGTGTATGTTTCCTTTGATTGGACTGCTCAGGATATCAGGCAGCACAAGATAAGCGTGCGGAAGCTCAGTGGGCCGTTGAGAAGCCTAATTGTTAACTGTTAACTGTTTGATCATTGTCATGCAAACGTGGGAAACAATTTCATGAAACCAGGTGAAACCGTATGGACATTTCCCCTCCTTTTTGCTGCTTTCATTCACCTTTTGTTCACCTCCAAAAGGGGCGGCCGCTAGCTACAGCGGTGGCGTTTGGGGGTAAGCGAGGGTGACTAGACGAGTCTTTTGGAAGCAGATGCCTTGTTTCGGAGCGTGGACAGAGCATGTCGTTCTGTTATAGAAAAACAATGAAACACAATTACAAGGGAATCTATAGCTTAACAACTGAGTACTGTAAGAAGGAGTCCAATGTCGCAGCACTCCATATCTTCATATGTGATGTGGGGCGGACATTGATCACCTTCTGTGCGAAAATGCAATCTTCACGGTTTTCTGTGTGAGTTAGATAATATACATATATATGGAATATTCTCAACTGAAATGAGGTTCGTACATGCGGTAAATGCACGTAAGTATTCCATACACATGGATGGTTTTGGCCTGGAATCTGTTTTAACCAGCCCCCTTTTGGCTTGCTTCACCACTTCTTGGTGTTGCGCCCTTTCTGCCATCAGCGCAGGTGAAATCTTTAGCGAGCTTGGTCGCATCAGGACCGCCACCCGGACGCTTCGCACCTCGAGACGGACATGTTCCACTGGGACATCGTTTCGGAACCATGTCACCTGTTTAAGACAAGCGTTTCAGCTGTATGGCTGTATGTGTTTGAGTATCATGTAGTAACTAATTTGAAGCTTCAATTTTGAGGGTCCATCATTGAATTCACGACCAAGATTGGCCTGGAGAAAAGGCACCGGACATCAAACAGACGTATATTAAAAAAGTGTAATTATATGTATACATATAACGATACATAAGTAAATAAATGTAAATATGTATATATATATATATATTCATAACTATATATATATATATATTCATCCGCCCAATACAATTGAATTTGCATCGTCGTTGACTATTCTTGGTTCTGAAACTAGGAAGCCCCTCCTGTCCTGGCACTTTTCGAAACTGAACTACCAACTCAGCCAGAGCTGAGTGGGAGGTCGCCGACGGAGCTGGGGGTTGGGGGGTGAACTTCCAGCGCTCACTCTGAGTGGGGAGTGCATGGGCCCTGATGGAGGAAGCGAGCCAGCAAGCTTCGTGCGGAGTATCTTCAAGTCCTTGAGCGCATTCGCCCCCCTGGTGGGAGAAGTCGCGAAGCTGGACAGCGAGCTGGAGTGGTGAGAAGCTGGACACCGGTCGGACCGGTCTTTTTTGGTATCACAGCCGGAGGCGAAGGCTCAAATTAACCTATTGCGCTGTGAAGCTATATTGAAAGGAATACAGGCTTTTGGACATGTGTATTCACAGAGTTCACAATGTTGCTCACCTTTTGTCTCCCATTTTCTAGACCTGACCATGTTGAGCAAGTTGCGCGCTTGGCACGTCGGGCCTTTTCTCGGCCCCGCTGCCGAGGTTACGTGGCCAAGTGTGTGGCCGCTCGCTTGCAGTGAGAAAGCACGTCGGTGGCTTCGTGGAATTAGCAATCCATGTATGGAATATTTACCTACATTGACCCTTTGGGGCATGGATTATTAGGGGTTGGTTCCCTGCTTCGCCTGTCGAGTTTGGTCCAGGTCACGTTCCGCCCGCGTTTCTTGGCCCACCCGACATCCTGCCCAAAAATCATTCTGGCAAGTCTGGCGGTTGGAGTGGCCAATGCTCGCGGAGGCAATCGTAGTCTAAAGGTTGACGCCACAAGTGGATGTTTCTTGTGACATGCCCAGCCTCTTTGGGAAAGGTGGGCTCACTGGAAACAGTGGCTCAGCCGACTGAGAACACGGCCATTCTGGCCGCTCTTGGCCCCTTTGGACAAGAGAGGATATCCCAAAACATGCCTATGATATCCTATTATAGATTCTGATTACATCCCAAAACTATGAGATGGATAATATCTCAATCCTTCGGAATAGAAACATGAGATGAGTTGTCGCATCCCAAAACCTCCCACTATCCAAATCTGAAGACCTGCATCCCCTGCCGTCATCCCGACCTCCTCAACTCACGGCTTCCATCGAATTCCATCGCGGCTTCCAGGAGGCCGTGTGGGGCAACAGCTTGGACATGGCCCAAAACTTAGACCTGTGCTGCGTGAGACCTTTGCGCAACCAGCCAAGGAACTAATTAAGGAGACCCGGAAACCTCAAAACGACTCGACACCAAAGAAAGGGAGGAAAATGAACCTTCCTCTAAAGAATCGACTGGAATTCGAAGGCCCCCATTCCATGGCCTTCGCCTTGTTTAATCGACTTGGGCGTTTCGACTTACGCGGAGGCACGATCCGTTGTCGGGATGTCCTTGAGATCCTTCCCTTTTCGAAAGGATTGGGAAGTAGCATTGGATCCCGCAGAGCAATACAGCAAGCATACAAATGAACATGATTGAGCATGTGTGCAACGAAGAATAGCCACTGTGAAAGACACTGTGAAGGACACTGTGAAGCATGAACACCACTGTTGGTTCGCGAAAATCATAGAAACTCCGGCTGAAAGCCGCAAGTCTCAAGTCCCGGTTTTGTCCGAGTCGGAAGTGCTTTGAAGCTGGATGAGCAACCGGTGTACACGTCGTTAAATCTGTGGTGACTCGACAACGACGCACAACACGAGTCGGCGGCCTACGTGGTTCCGCTTCGCCCCACCACACGATCGACTCCACACGGTGTCCGGTGTCCGGATGCTTTTCACCCGCGACCCGCGACGTATGTCTTCAGGTCGCGCCCGCCGAGGAGTCCAACAATCTGGAGATCGGTGTCTGGGCGAAGACGATGTTTCGGATGTTTGGAGCCGAAGAAAAGCGAAGCGTGCTGAGCGGGGGCGTTTTCACTGGGCCTTCCGGTATGCGAGGCGAAAGAGTGATATTTATAGGCTTTAAAACGGAAGAACCGATTGCCTTGGTGTAAAGGGTTGGTTCTAATGTGGTTCTATTGGTTAGATTTGAGTTCAGTTGATGTCCGTGCTGCCCCGTTGCCACCAGACCGACAGATCACTCGGAAGAAATTGGAGCATGAGCATGAGGCACGTTCCGAATGTTTCGCGAAACCGCCACAATGCGGCTCAAGTCACACGCGGATAAATGGTGCGCATGGACTGACGTACCACTTCCTACTATAAATTCGATATCCGAATCGCTACTTTAGTAGCAGAGCCGAACACTCCTTCCCCCCCCAGGTCTCAAGCAGACGGGTGACTCCTGTTGGTCTTCACGACCTGGACATCGACCACTGAAGAAAAGAATCTGATCCTCCTGCTCCAGCTTGCTTGAGGTTCCGTTTGGATAAGTCATTGAAGAGCCAGAGGTCCTTGTGTCCATCCGCGGCTTCCTGTGCAATTGCTACCTCATCGTTCCACTTCACTCCACTTCGTTTCCTCCACCTTTGGCGACTTCCAGGACAATACCACACCTTCGAGCGCTATGTCGACCACCATGAACAATGAAGAAAGCACCATGTCGTTGCAGCAGTACACTCGTGAAGTTCCACCTGGCTGGAAGCCACATATAGCTATCCCATCGTCCGCTACCGACAGCTCCTTGAAGTTTGGATGCTGGATGCGTTTTTGACAAAGCTGGAACCTGAGCAGATTGGCCCATCTATCCTGTCCCGCTTAGGCTGAGCTGCCTGGACGCTTGGCCACTCCTTGACAATTGTCCGTCAAGAAGTTCACAATGGAGCCTTGGTTGAACGCAAGTACAAAGGAGTTGAAGCTGTTTGCCTTCCTGCCGTTGATGCCCCTAGGAGCCAAAAGCCTGATCGACCAGCTCTTCGCCGTCCACTACCTTGACAACCAAGATCGAGCGTGGATTGCTCTGGACCAGTGCTTCTCCTACCGTCCCGCTGCAGGTTCTTTCCTGAGCTATTGGCAGGAATGGTAACGACTGAAAGAAGAAGCCTGTCAGTATGGCGGCCTTGCTATGAATGAGATCGGCTATGCCTCTTTCTTCTGGTCCCAAAGCAACGTTGATCCAAAGATCATCCAGGAACTTCGTCTCAAGTTCGATAGCGACCTCACCAATTGGAATTAATGATTGCACTCCAGCAACGCTTGAGCAAAAGCGAAGCAGCTATCACTGATCAGTCTCGAGGCTACCGCCGCTTCATGACTTGCACTGAGGAATACCACATGGCCGCCGACAATGACAACTATGATATGGATTTCTGGTATGATGAATGGCCTAACTTCTACAGCGAGGACGATGAGTCCGCTAGATGGTATGAAAATGATGATTCAGATTGGTGGCCAGATGAAACCACCGCAGTCGCTGATGCTCCAGCTGCATCTACAGCACCTCCGTCCGAGATTTAGTGTGGCGGCAAAGGAAAAGGCAAGAGCAAGCAGCCCATTGGCTCTCAGTGCGCCAACTGCGGCAGCAAATTCCACGGCACTGATGACTGTCCACTTGGAGAACGTTGCAATGAGCCAGCTGCCACTTCTTTCCAACAGCCTTCCGCCTCCGAGCTTCCTACGCAGGACTATGAAGTCGACTGGACTGACTTTGATGAGTACTGTGGCAAAGTAAAGAAAAGCAAGAAAAGAGGAAAAAGCACTTACTATGCTGAAGATGATGCCTGGGATCCCCTTTGGGCCTAGTACTTCACGCCTGAAGACCTTGCTCCCGCTGATGGAACGCCAGCTTCCGACTTCTTCACAGGAACGCGCGTCACCGACTTCCTATCCACAGAAGCGTTCTCCTGCCAGGTCTTCTCCTGGCAAAGCAGAGGACAAGAAGAACAAAAGGACCATGGAGCCGGAACAAAGACAAGCTGAGATGCATAAGCTCATTGGTTCGATCTTTGGACCTCCTGCTACCACTGCACCTACTCCGTTTGCTAGTGCGCCCCCTTCATTGCAGCCTTGTGCCACTTCACTTCTCCCTACTGCATCACTCTTTACACCGCAACACACAGTACATGAACTTCTACTACCACCACAACCTCAAACACCACTGCCACAGGCACAGCCACGACCTTCCTGTTGACTCAGCGCATCAACCTTTTACAGCGCAACGCAACCCGGCTATCTCCCTGATCCAGCTGTACCAGCAAGCGCTACGGCGCTACAGCTAGAAAAGCAGCAACAAGCAAAAGTCACAGGAGCCACACCACTTGGCTTCAAGATGATCACTCTGTGACCACCCGAGTGACCGGACGCATGCCTGATTCCTTCACGCCAACATCCTGGTGTGAGCAACGCCACACACCGTTGCAGCCAGAACATCACTTGCAACAAGAGCTACTGCTACACTTGCAGGAACCAACGCATGTGTTCCTTGCCCAGCGCCGACAGATGGTCCATGGTCCCAAGTCAAGCACACTCCGTGACCAGCAAGCCTTCAGGCACAGCATCCGCAGCAGCAGCCAATGATTCATCACAGACCGTGGATGAGTTTTGCCAAGCAGAAAGCTTAGCATCACAGCAGACACCTCCAGCCACATCCAAAGCACCCGAGGTCAAACCACGCGCGACCTTGTTGGCGAATCGACTGAAGCAGGTGCACAAGCTCTTGGAGATCAACGCCGAGACACCCGATACCTTGAAGAAAGACAGAGACAGTATTCCGGTCACTCCTGCACGTCGCCAAGGTTCAGTCAGACCGCTTGCAGCCTCTTAAAACGCTTCTGGCACGCTTGTCCACAACACACCTATGCGTGTTCTCCAGCACGTGACCCTGCCTAAGGACATCGTAGACCTGGGCATTCAATCAAGTCTCCAAGGAATGTCCAGAATGCTGGCAGTTCGCTTCCAAGCTTCATCAGATTTGGCCATTGCCTTCAACCAGGAAGTCCTCTTTGACAACTTCTTCCTCTGGAGTGAGGTCTTTCTCATCTTCATGGATTCTGCCATCCGCTGGAAGACTGGAGTTCATGTCTCTAGTAGATCAAGTGCTGAGTTCCTTCCCATCTTTCACCAGAACTGGCTTCGACCATTTGGACCACCAGATTTGCTACTTGGAGACCAAGAACCTTAACATTGATTTAAAGGCTTACGCCTAACAGCCGGGCGCCGGCCCACTTGGGTCTGTGTAGGGCTGGGTCGGGTGCACGTTAAGCTATCGGGGGCGTACTGGGCCCTGGGTGGCGCCAAGGTGGGAAACTGGTCCGCGTCGGAGACGGGGGCCCTATATTGAGCAAAGTTAAGCTATCTGGTGCGCATCTTGGCCCTAGGTTGGGCCAAGTGGGGCCCGTGTGGCGTGTGGTCTATGTTGGGCACATCTATGTTGAGCCTATGTTGAGCCTATGTTGGCCTATGTTAGGCCTATGTTGGCCTATGTTGGCCTAGGTTGGCCTATGTTGGGCCTATGTTGGCCCCATGTTCCTATGTTGAGCCATCCTGGAGGCTATGTTGGGCATATGTTGGGGATATGTTGGCTATCTTGGGCCTATGTTGAGGATATGTTAGGCAATTTAAGTCGTCTGGAGGGCCTCTACCCACGAAATGTCGATTATGCCTGTCCGCCCGGCGCGCATTACCGACACCACCCTTGAAAAACACAGCGTTTTGGCATTTCTCCATCTTCGCCGCGTCGTACTTCGACGTGCGCAATAAACCCTGTAAAGCACAGTGTTTTATACTTCACACACACACACGAAACACTGTAAATTACAGGGGCTTCAGTGGTTCGGACGTCCCCCCGTTTTTCGTGACACGGGTCGGCGGCAGGGGGGCCGAGCGTCTATAACCTTCGGTTACCACCGAAGGCCCTCTGGGCATGCCACGGGCTTCGTGGCCGGCGCCCGGACTACGACAACTTGACCCAAGAAAGCTGCCTGTCTCAAAATCTCCTGCTGGAGTACAACGGCTTCAATCCACAAGCTGCCCTGACGGGACAGCAAGCCAAAGACATGTGGAATCTTGACTCCACCAACTTGCAGAGCACTGCAGGTGCCATTGATCGCAATCCAGACTACGCAGAGAAGATCATCAGAACACGCCTGCATGTTGGCCAAGCATGCTTGATCCAGTCCGTCATCCAGGAGCGCTTGGCAATTGCCACAAAGATGAAGCAGCGGACAGAAAGCAGTTCAGCCGGAAGTGCTGTAAGCGCATTAAAAGGAAGAACAGGGAGATGAGTGGCAGGCTCCCGTACGAAACTAGCCCACTGTAGTATGGGGGCAGTGGGACCAGCAAGCCCAAGGTCAACCAAGTGCTGGTGAACCAAGTATCTATCACGGGCTGCGCTGCCGGAGATCAGAATGCCACTGAGTGTGATGTGCAGCTGGCCTCTCTAGGGAGAGAGGATGCACCATGGTTCCATCTTGCAGTTTGACATAGGTGAGTTGAAAGGCTCTCGGTACTTGGATGAGGCGATAGACCGGCGGGTCAACAGGGCGGAGAACAGCTACCATCTTATTTCTGGCCGGGAGCACACCTGCAATGCGTAGATGGAAATGTTGTGCGGCGTAAGATACTGTGCAGGCTATACAGTACAGCCCTGTGTTCGCCAAGATCAGCTAGGCTGGCGTGGGCCTGCTGAAGTTCTTTCAGTACAACGCCTAACTGGCACAGTGATCGTGAATCTTCAAGGTCAACCTCTCACTGTGGCCATCTCCAGTGTCAGACGACACATGGCTGCTGACTTCTATCGACTACCGCTTGCGATACCGAGATTGCCAAGACCTATCACTCGGAGATTTTGTCTTCAGCCGTCACTCAGAACGCGCAAGCCATGCAGTCCATCATGGACATCGTTGAAGGTTCGCCTACTTGGCTTGGCTACCGCTTGAATGACAACCACCATGCCTTCCTCCAGGTTTCCTTCCGGGTGACAACAGACTGATCCAACTTGGACGACAACTTGGATGGCATGAACGCATTGGCAACTTCTCTGGAGTGATCGGCAACTTCTCTGGAGTGATCTATGGCACATTAGAAGACTTCACTCACCACGCCATCGCAAAGAGAGGCATCCTTCTTTTCATCGCATCCAGGACGTCGCTCTCAAGGACACTCTCTACTTCTACTCCTATCACGCCAGGGAGACCACTGATGATCCGCCTCTGGCACGACCTCAAGACATCGATTGGGATGACATTTCCAGCACACGGCCTGATTCAGAATCTTCTGGAGACAACAGTCTCACAGTCTCAACGACTTGCTGATTCCATCAGAAGCTCCAGACTTACCATAGGATGCACCACAACATTCACCTCATGCACCACAAGATCAAGGACCAGTACTAAACCAATGACTACAATTCCACCTATATATTCCTCATGTACCGCAAGGTCCACCTTACGCTCCACAACCTCCTGCTTTCACTCAATCCTCCAATGACATGTCCAACGACTCATCAGCGCCGGAACACAGCGTGCCAGATCCTAGCAGTTCTGACATCATCATTGGTGATCAACCACCAGACGACCCAGGAGCGCCACAGGCACAGCCTCCGGGAGCACCAGGCGTAAGCGCAACGACCGCACCTTCATCACGGCTGCCACAACTACATCAGCCAACCTCATCTACCATCTCAAGTCAACACCACTGCAACCAGGACCACTACGCATACAACAGCGCAAGCTACCAGCATCAGCAAGAGTACGACAGCCACAACGATCCAGCTTTCCAGAAGCACAACAACAAAAGCCACAAACCGCATCAACTTCTACAACACCAAACTTTCCACTACCAGTTCCAACACCACCGATCACCATGCGATCCAAAACCAGAAGAACGATCTAGACATACCTGAACTTCCAGCAGATGATTCGGGGCCAGCTGATCCCACAGGTCACTTGCCAATAGCCAGTGATGACGCACTCGCTGCTCCTACTTCTTCAACACAGCACCTTCCAAGAAGATCCACTGCTACTGCGCAGAGATCCTCACCATATCAACGACCACCACTGATCGACAAAACCAAGATTGAAGAAGACAGCGTTCCAAGTGATCCAGCTGGACCTTCACTTCCATTGGCATCTCCTGCTGAACAGCCGTCAGCATCGAATGCCTTTGAACCTTCGCCTTGATGACTCCTCGCGGACCATTGAGTATCCAGACGAGCCTTCGACTACCGCGACAAGAATGCGGATCAGACCAACCTGGATCCGAGCTTTGACGAGCTTTGGACGACCTATCCAAGCATTACCTCTTCGGTCGACCGTCCTAGCTTGGAACGGGAGTTTTTCGATCGTGTTTGTAAAGACAAGCAGCTGGTAGAGGACACTGTGCCACTAAGCACACACATGCATGCCGTGTTTAGGGGTCTCATTCCTTAATTTCGCGCGATGTTGGCCTCTCATTTTGGAGGTGCAGATCCAGGCCCTTACAACTGCGAGTATCTTGTTGACATTAATACATTCGAGTTGTTCAGAGCTGATGACGCTACGGCTAATCTCACAGAGGATGAACTTGCTAAGTACACGTCGCTTGTTCACGAAGCTGTTCACAAGGAGCTTCATCAATTCATTGAACGCAAAGTGTTTGTTGGTGTTGACACATCGAGCTTGCCGTCGGACTGCAACGTTGTTGACTGTGCTTGGATCCGTATAATATAAGTGGAAGACTAAGCCGACCCTGGTCAAATCTAGAATGTGTGCTCGCGGTTGTTTCGACAAACAGAAGGACGTGACTGACCACCACAGCAGCACTGCTAGTCGCTTGAGTCAACGTATGGTTCTCTCATGCGCTGGGAATATAGCTTTTTGTCTTCACGGCGATGACATTGACAGAACCTTCTGGATATCAGTTGCGCATTCTTGCAAGGTTTGGAGTACAAAGAGTTGCAAAAGTTGGGTAAACAACTTGCTTCGAAAAAGGCAAACGCGCTCTGTTTGCATCCTTCCTCCGGAGAATGTGTGGGGACACTTTCGAAAGATGTCAGAAGCTCCAGATTCACTCAAGATTCCTGACCATGAGCGGGGCTCCGAAGCACTTCAGCGACGCACCGCTGATGTTCCAACTTGCGCTGCTTCAGCGCACTGGGTAGAATGCATCAACAATCGTTGGGAAGTTGCATTGTTGTTGACAGCGTGTTGATGACGTATACTGATCACCGGAAGTGCACAGAAGCGTTCTTGGATTCACAAACAGCTAGCAGCACGGTTTGGGACCTTGAAACGACATGCGCGCAGGGATTGAACTCGAGAGAATTCCATCCGGTATACTTCGTTTGCGCCAAGACACGTGCAGTAAACTGGAGCTGAAGCTTTTAGCTTACAGAGGTTTGTTGACGATCAACTCGGTCATCAAGCGGCTTCGCTTGCCGTCTAAAGACCGTCTTGGCCTGTACTTCAGATCTTTGAAACTACCCATAAGGGTTTTGTGCGTGTGTGTCGGATGCATCCTCGGCCAATAAACAGAGCAGCTACGCCACAGAATGCATTCTCCTTGCTGAAGATGTGTTGGCGTCGCCAGAGACAGATGCTCAGATGCTCGAGACTTCAGTTGCTTTGACAGGGGGTTCTATGCATCTTCTTCACTGCTCCTGCACTAAAGCAAAGAGAGTGTCGCACTGTAATTCACACGCTGAAACAAATGCCTGCGCAGGCGCCTTGCCGCGTGCGCAAATGATAGCGCTCCGTCTTTGTGAGCCGGAACACCGACTTTGGCCAGCGTCCTTAACACCTATGCGTTTGTTGTCTGCGTGGACCTCTTTGAATTGGCCACCGGTCAGAAGGGTGTACCGTTGGACAAAGGACAGCGCCTTTGAATCCTTGCGATCCGAGAAGAGCGGCGTACACATCGCTTGCGCAGATTGTTCCATGTTCAGACTCATTGGATGCTTGCAGGCCATCTCGCAAAGCATGTTGGATATGTATCTAAGGGTCTTCTTAAGTTTTTGACCGCCGGAAAGTGGCACATTGCAGGGTCGTTGAGGCTTCGGCGCCATTTCGGTACAGCTCCTACAGCATGGCTCTACACCAAGAGAAGAGTATGAGAGTTAGATTTTCAGTTCAGTTGATGTCCGTGCTGCCCCGTTGCCACCAGACCGACAGATCACTCGGAAGAAATTGGAGCATGAACATGAGGCACGTTCCGAATGTTTCGCGAAACCGCCACAATGCGGCTCGAGCCACACGCGAATAAATGAATGGTGCGCGTGGACTGACACGTACTAAATCGAGAAGTGTACCACTTCCTATTGCGTTCGATATCCGAATTGCTACTCTAACATCCCCAATGAATGAATGTTTATAAAGTGGGGAGGGTTGACATGTATAAATGCAGTTTCATTAGCAATTTTATAGTGTGGGTACCCCAAGTAGAAATATCCGAACCATGGAAGGCCATGGCGGCCATGAACAGAAATATGATAAAGTATGACAAGTACGAAAAGATGATGGTTGAAGATCAACCGTGTGGATCAGCATTTCATAGAGACATTCATGTAGAGGTGGGAAAAAATGAAGCGAATGTGCATTCCATAATGACAAACAATGAATTACACATGTTGAAAATGTCTTGCTGGAATGGCACTTTATAGTATTTTATAGTACAAATGATGTTCAATGAACCCTGACCATTCTATAAGCAGCTTTTCTGGAAATACTCCCCCCCCTTGAGGTTGGACGTTGCATTTTCTGGTGTTATATATATAGTTATATATGGTTTTGCCTTCAATAGAGGGTAATTTTCTATAAATTGCCTCACTAACCCCCCCTTAACATGGTTCACCGAGTATGTTTCATTCATTAATTCTAAAATATGATTCTCTAGAAGTTTTTTGGCCGTAGGCCAAAGAGGACATTCAGTATTATTCTGGTGACCTGTATGTGCCGATGGTTTTGTAGAACTACCCGACCCCCTGGAATCGGTTTGATGAGGTTCGTGACTCGAAACCTCCACACGAATCATTGGGGTCCATCAATTGTGACAGGGGAGGCGGTATTTTTGGGGATGTCGGTTTACTCACCTCATACGCACTACACCTGATACCTTTGATACCTATTAGATGTGTTTCAATGTGTTTCATTTGTGTGTTCCCAGGTGTAATGTTCAACAAGAACCTCCCAGGCAACAGGAACTACATCACTTTGAGGAGCATTTTAAGAGCCCTGATTGCCGTGTGAAAGAGATCATTTGATCATTGATGCAAATGCCTGCTATGTGGTCCTGTGGTTTTCACGTGACCCTCACTGTTGGTAATAAGATGTAGTAACGCTAAACAACCACCGTAGCACATGTGCCCCGGTCCATTGCAACGACCCACCCATCAAAGTGGCGATTGGAATGGCATCGGAATTTGGGGGCGTCCTAAGAATACACCAATGGCCAATGGCATTTATTGTTTGGGTGGGTGTATGGTGCCAGACGCCACCTGAGAGTTACACATGTTTTGTCGACACCTTGGAGAGCTGTGACGCCTCTCGCATGGTGGTCACATGGTGTATCCTCAGGCCTGAACTGTTTGAATGATGCAGCCGAAGCTCGACAACACGGGGGACCAAGGCTGACTGCGCACGCGATCTTGGATCCCAAAATACCGAGTTCAGATTGCCAGAATAACGGAGTGTTTCTGTCAACGTTTGTTTCGTGTAGAGAGATGCCAACATATGCGAACCTTGTGAACGCCAAGTTTGACTAGCGTGCATCGAGCCCGCCAGATGGTTTGATCCTTTTACTATAGTAAGAGTCTGACAGTTTTCTGCCAAAGAGGTTTAACATCCACATTATGAGCTGATAATATATATATATATATTGGGTTTCCTCGTTTTTTCTTCGATCATAGTGACTAGCAGGATCAGAGATGTGACCCCATTGGTTTGTTCAGCCTCAGGAATATGTTTGGGAACAAGATAGGGCCAACAAAAGCGTTGAATACCCCATCAACAAGGAACAAGAGCCATAAGATGAGCAAATGGCCAATGGATGTCAAAGCTGACATCTTCGACTCAGCTGCAGCCAGTTTGACACCAAGGATGGAATGGAAGATTGTTCAGACTTCTGGATTATGTGCCTTGGTGTGTGTGTGTGTGTGTGCGTATGGGTGCGTGTGTGTGTAACCGTAACCCTTGGAGTCATAGGGATTCCTTCGAATTTGTTTTCTTTCTTAAAGCAGGGGGCTCTCGGAGCCTGCATGCAGCGCTTGTGCAAACGTACATGCTGTTCACCGCACCTGGGCATCTAAGTGCAGCTGGTGGGTCCTATGTCGTTGGTCCCTGATTTTAGCTAGAACAAGAACTCTAGCCTTTGCACCGGTTTGCACTCCGCAGTTGTGAGAGAACGTTGTCAGCCTGTCGTTTCGTGATCGTCGACTTTAGACTGGAGATTTTGGGCCTCACCTTCCTTGTGTTGGACCTCCAGGATCCTCAGACTTCCTACTTCTTACACGAATTTCTCAGGATTTGGGTGCCTAGGCTGCCGTGTGGCGAGCGGCATTCAGTTCAGTACGCATTTCCTAAGAGTGTGTGTGTTTGTGTGCGCGCGCACATTCCCCAGAGTGTGTGTGTGTGTGTGGAACACCTTCATTAGTCCCGAGAAGCCGGATTACATGTTGTATCCATTACTGGGCGCCGCGCTTGTCTTATGTGTAAGGGTTTGCCGAACTCAACAACAAAACCTTGTCCAGTGAAAATGGGGATTCATTGATCAACCTTTAACCTCTATATAACACATTGTTTCACATATTGTATTGAATCATATGTAGTAGTTTTGTAAAGGGGCAGGGTTCTATATACTTGTTTCTATTTCAGTTGACACACATGTCAAGTCATGACATCATGAGAAATTGGTTCGACAAGGGTGCCATCTAGAAAACCTGAAACATGCAATCTAACTGCAAATGGGTAATAGAAACATAATACTTTTGCCATTCTACAGATGTTCGCGGGCGGTGGTCTGTGAAAGGCGTGCGACCACCAGTGGTGGCAGTCGTTTCGGCCTCACAGCCACCTGCGTGCAGATGCCTTGGCAAGGTCAAGGTTGTTCGATCGTGTTTTTTGGATTCACTGTCCAGGAACCAGGTGGGGATTCACCCAGTTCTGCAAAAAGCAGCATCGCACCAGAGCTCAGGCTACACAACACCGAGCTGCAGCTTCCAGAAATTCGAGAGGCCAAATTTGGGGCAAAAGCTTTGATCTTTGCTCATCCAAAGGTGTAGGAAAATGATGATATTCCTTTACTCTTTGGGTGATCTCTTGGAGATTCTAAGTAGCTCGATTGCTGCTGCATACAGCAATGATAAAGCCTGAAACAGTTTCACTTTGGGTAGGTGCCTTGGCGCTGTTGCTTTCCCACGGCTTCGACTCGATTCCCACGTTCTTCACGTTCTTTGTCTCGTCATCAAACCTCTTCGATATAAGGAATGGCGGAGACGCATGGATTCGAAACGATTTGGATGCGAATCACAACAGATGTGAACAGTTTTTTGTTGGCCACTCTGGTTCCACCACAACTTACCATGTCCTTTGATCGTCGGCCAGATTTTGTTGCATGCGCCCCACTGCCTGCAGGGAAGACGCAAGAAGTAGAGGCCTTTGGATGCCAGTCACGAGGTGAGCCGTAGGATGCACTCTTTCCACGGAGGGCGAGAAAAAACGACAAAAAGAAAACACTAGAACAAGTAAAAAGAAAAGGACTGGTCTAAAGGTCTTCAGAAAAAGAGAAACTGGTGTGATCCTAGATGTGCAGATTCTTCTTTCCTGGCCTGGCTGCTTGCAGGTAGCTCTCAGTCGCAGAGGTGCCAAACTTCTGCTGCGCTTGCTCTTGAGCTCGCAGCCACCGTGGCTAATAGATATGAAGGCAAACAACAAAACTTTTTGTAGCTTGGCTCTGACTTCTCTGGCCAAGTCAGCAGGCACCTGGCCCACCTTTTTTTAAGCCCAGATAGATCCTGAGAGTGCTGAGAGATCGCCCGGGGCGAACTCGATCCAAAGCGGCATCTTGGGTGACGCCCAGAGTCAGTATTGTTTGCTACCTGGGAAGCTCTGTCGTGTGCGAAAACAGACAATGTGCTAAAATCAGTCGAAACCATGGTCTTCCATGATTTGGTGATTGACACCTGGGAAGATGTCATATGAAACATATGACATACAAACAGCCTGGATCCTCAAAATCCCTCATCTTCGCGACAAACCAAGATCAACCCAAGCGGTTAAGGGATGAGGAAGAATTCCTCGAGCCATGATGAACTCTCAATTGTGCGTGCGAATGGGTTAGCTGGGGGCTAGCTGGGTGCAGACAAAAATTCATTGCTTGATGAAAGCAGATAGATCGGAGTTCAAGGCTTGACGAATGCAAATAGATCGGATTTCAAGTTTGTGTGGCTCAAAGAGTAGTGGCTGCAGAGTCTATACCATTCTATACCCATCGTTTCACCAATGAGTGGTGCAGCCTATTGTGTTTGAGCCATACCCATTTGTGATGTCAGTGAGCCGTTTTCTGTTTGTTGGCACTGGCATTCACAACCTGTCCGCATTTGTTGGCAACTCAATAATTTGCATTCTTGAAAACAGTGGTGGTGGGAGACAGGTGTTTGGTCTGAAATCACGAGCAGGTGCGAGTCATATTTGATTCAGTTGTCTCCCGTGCCATTTCGTGCCTCCTGAAGCTGTCTAAGACCATCCGCACGAGTTTAAAATAGTTTAAATCTCAATAATTTCAACCAGTTGCACGAAAGCCACTTGGCCACCCCACAAGGGTTCCCCAGCAGATAGTTGCATTGAGAACAATCACTATGACCATTCATCCAAGCAATTTTCAGTATTCAATGACTCGTCCACCGGGCCCAAGTGGGTTTCATGTTAAACACACTCCCGCCGTCCCAAACGGTTGGTGAGCCCGGAGTCAGCTAGACTAACCTGAAAGCACCAGCCGCAACAGAATCACTACAGAAAGAGCAAGGGCCCCGGTTGGAAGTTGCGGAAAGGGGCTTGAAAAGGGATGAAAAGGGTAATTAGAACAATAGAACAACAAAAACAATATATCAAGTGTCCATATGAGTCCATCCTACCAAGCAATTCATATAAACCAGTTCCGAGTTGCTTGCGAACTACCGTACCCCATTGGAAAAATGAGAAACAGTTCAGGCTATGGTTTGATACAATGCATATGAATACATATGATACCTTGCTGCGCCACGCTAGAGATAGCTTTCCATGAATGAAGTGCTGCAGTGCTGAACCTCAATTCTTCAGGGCTGAAATAGGAATGCCCAAATCTAGTTAGCTGTGAAGAAGCAAGTGAGCTGTTCAACAAGAGGCAGGTAGAGCTGGTTCGTGGGAGGACAATCTTCTTTGATTCCATGAAAGTTAGCAACTCCTATGTCCCCCAAACCCTTCAATTGATCACTATTGACCATTGACTATTGTATGATATTGTATGGATTTTCCAATCAGGACCCATCAGTTTTTCACGTATCTCAAATATCCTGAAAGGCCATGGCTTTGGTTTACTGTGCTGCTGTTTTGCTTTAGAAGTAATTCGGAGAAAGATGCAACCGCGAGCGAGCGAAGCAGAATTCAGAGAACATGGAAGGCGAGCTGCAGCGAGCGAACCCACGGCACAGCATGGGTTGCCTTTACCATCACACGATGGACGTACAAACATGGATGGTAAGAACGTAAGAACCAGAATGGAATATGCAAAGAATGGAAGTAGAAAAATCAGAACCAGACTATAGCGCGCGGCCTATCATAGGCAGTGAAGTCGGAGGGGAATCAGGTGGAATCTAAAACTCCATTTGTATGGCTAGATTCAGTGTTCTCAAGTGAAATCCTTTGAGTCACATACCAATGCAAACCCTTGGAGTTGTACAATGGTGTGCTGGGCTGTGTTGTTCTGACTCCCAATTGTGATGTGGTTGCTTCAACGGGGAAAAGAGCCAGTGTTAAGTTGGATAGATGCCGGAACCCAAACACATTGGCCTTCTCCATTGACACAGGTTGACGTTGCATTCCAAGCTTGTATATAGTCTCTCATAGAAACCGCCATGTGCTGCCCCGAGGGTAGAAAAGTGAGAATCCACCATTAAACTTGCAGCAGTACTGGCTCATTCTGTGTCTTTTTTGTTAAATCACGTTCACCCTTTGTGTACACAGCCTGAATCTCAGTTGACAGAGGACTGCTCCGTTCGCTGGCTTGAGATACAGTCCGTGTGCTTGTTTCCGTCAATAAACTTGTCTTCGCCCAAGTCTGCCGGATGTAGGTGAATTGGTCTGAATTGGTTGAGCCAGGTGCCATGGCGCGTGCCAAGGTACCTGTCAATGCCAATGCTGAACAGATCCGACATCTTGTGGAAATACTCGATCGAACTCCGGGTACTATCAACGTGGAGTTCGCAAAGACGATGATGCGGACCATGTCCTGGACGTGGCCAAAAAGGGGAGCTGCCAAGCTTGGGGAGTGAGGCTTGGCTCAACGGTCAAGCTGTTTGCTGGGGACGATGCGACTCCTCCCAGATGTAGGCGATAGTTGCAGGTCCCATCCAAGCACACTGGAGCAAGATCCTGCAGACATTGGACAAAGAAGACAACGAGGTATGTCTATGTTTGGGTCCGGATGTCTTCTGGGTCCGTACATGTTGGTGTGATGTTGTGGTCCATGTCGTGGTTTCATCTTCCGATTCGTTTTTGCAGATGTGTGGAGAACCGCCAAACCTCCAGGTACCAGCTCGAGGACCTCTTGGCCCTGCCTGCGCCCGCCGCGACCACCGAAGTGGAGGCCGCGCGGTGCGAACATTCCGCAGTCGCGTGCGGCGCAGGGCGGGTGGGGCTGGATTTGCCTCGGACCCTGGGGTTTTGGGCAGAATGAACCCAAACTATCTAGCAGAATCAGGATTAGTTAAGTAATTTAACCAGAAATCTGTCCTGGAAAGAGTCTTTCTACTCAGCTTCAGAGTGTATCCTCGGTCATGGATTTGCTCTTTCACTCGGCGTTTTGTGCTCCTTCTGCTGTTGCTACAGATTTCCAATCCCTCGAGAACCGGCTCCTGGTTGAACGTCTTCTGATGGACAGAGCGACCAAATAGGACAACGGATCAAGGTGTTGATTGGGCAGGATGAGGAAAGGATGAATGGAAGCCTGGGAAGCATGTCCAAAAAATGCCTGTTGGGCATAGTTGATAAAGCACTACTACGTTCAGGAAGTGCGGCTACAGGCTCAAGCAATTCACCAGTCAAATGCTTGCTATATATATATATATAGTTACGTTAGTTATTAGACATGTTGATTTATATCATATGTTGGGTCATGTTGATTCAGGTGACATTGGGCATGAATACTGAGCTGATATATGTGTTTTCACTGTCCAGGCTTTAGGTCATAGTAGAACGAACATGAATGAACTACCCGACTCTCGATGAAGTCAGGCATTGTTCGGAACGTCGACCAGCGGGCGCCTGGCAGCACCTGCGGGGCGCCTTTTTGGAGCTGCGCCACCGCGGGAGGTCACCTTAGCCACTCAGCTCTCCAAGAACATTGTGCTGAACAGCCCGTTGGTTGCCGCACCCATGGACACCGTCACGGAGGCCGAAGAAAAGTGGCACGTACGTCCGGGGGGAGATGGTACAAGAAAAGGCATCAAAAATGCATTATGTCCACGCAGTGTCACAAAGAGATGGCACTGAAGATCCTTTTGTTTGGTCGAATTTTTGTTGAAACCAGGGCATTGTTAGAACTGAAACTGATGGCACACTTGTGCCAACATCTCTTGTGGACACGCTTTGGCCGAGGCGATACACTCCCGAAAACCAAAAAGGACCCTGAGAAGGGCACTTTGAAAGATTGCTTTCCTTTACAAACCAGTGGTTTTCAGGGTCCAATGTTAGTCTTCAGCGGGGATGGAGGATGTGTATGCTTGTGGTTGCGTGTCCCGTAATCTGGAATGTACAATGTACATGTCTTACACAACCTATTTTAATGAATCTCTGTTAGTGGTCAGGAACTACCACATACGGGTGGGAAGCAACAGGAAGTTGCACCTTTGCATCTCGTGACTGACAGTTCGTTGATTGAGAATGCAAAACGCAGCAGTGTTTTAGAGAAAACGTTGAAGTTTGCTAGCGTCGGATATCTGGAAAAAGAACTGAAACTGAAACAGTGATGGTTTTTCCTGTCATGAGCAGCCTGGCGAGCTTGGTTTATCCATTCTACTGGTTCTTTCGGCTATTCTGACTATTCTTGTTGCTTCTTCTCAGAGCTTTGACATAGACCCGTAGACCTTTGATCCAATCGCGACCGGCGTCCAGACGTGCTCCCTGGGATCGCTGTTCGTGCCTTCGCTTCGAGGGACGCATGGCCATTGCCTGCGCGTTGATGGGGGGTCTTGGCCACTCGGTGAGACGGTGCTTCTTGTTACTACTAGTAAGGCACTTGTTACTACTAGTAAGGCACTTGTTTCTAATAGCTTCTTGTTACTACTAGTAAGGCACTTGTTACTACTA